GATACTTTAGAGAGGATTTTTCCTTCTTATACTGGTTTCCCTAAATAGATGTAATTTTGCTCCGAGGTATAAAGATGCTTTAGCTCTAAAGTATCTGTTACAAGGATAATTCTTTAGAGATAAAGCATCTTCATACTTGGGAACAAAATTACATCTATTTAGGGGAACTAGTATAAGGAAAAATCCTTTTTAACTGTATCTGCATATGGCACACTGTACACAAAGATATACCTATATAAATCTGTAATAACAAGGAAGTATATAAATGCCAAGAAGACTTAGAACAGTGTGAAATCCACTCAAATGCTGCAAGCAATGGTTTCTCCCTTATGCTTTTTAAATACGTTCAATTCTGATTTCCTCAGAACGACATTGGCACTAATGTTCCCAGGCTCTTCCAAGTCACGGCTGCCCAGTCCCTGGGATTATCTGTCAGAGGGATGCTTAGGGAAAATAGACCTGAGTGAAGGCTGGAAATGTGTTCAAAACAGACACGCAACCTGAGTTGTCGGCTGTATGATTTATTAGAAACAGAATCCTAGTATAAGGTAATCATATGCATATTAAGTTTCTGTTTATCATAGAGGCATTCCCAAAGAATTTGCTCAGCATAAAAGGGTTTTGCAGAGTTCTGGGTCTTTGAGGTGTGAACTGTAAACTGGCATTAAGATTAATTTTTTTTTTTTTTTTAAAGATCATGAAGCACCAATTTGGGCCTGGGGGTAGGGAAGGAGGGGACTTGATGCCTGCTCAGTGAGAGCTCCTGAGGCTCCAGGAAGAGGACTTGGACCTCCCTTCCTCTCGCAGTCTCCCTGCAGCCCTCATGCCTGCTGCACATGTTCATGCTGTTTATCTTCAGACTCAGGCTGGCTGCTCATATAGTGCCACAGTGTCATGAGGATTAAGAATTTGGAAGCTTCGAGCTTTCTGGAAAAGTCCTATACACATTTATAGATTCCAGCTCTCCTTGAATCTTAACAGCTGCAGAATACTTTAACTGAGAAGACAGTTCCTTTTGTTTGTAGCTGGACATTTGACTGAGATACGCTATAGTGTCCTCCCTCCCAACTAGGGCCTTAACAGGAATGTACAAATAGGATATCAAAGAGAAAATCTTCAGACAAAGCCAATTTCAGTGTTATATTTTAATAGTACTGAAGAACTGTCCACTTTTTAAGTCCTAGGACTTTTGGGGGTTTAGAGATTTTAATCTTTTCTGCTTTGTGTGCTCTGACCTTCACTGTCAACTTGTGTAAAGGAAGAGCCCTTTTGTCACCTCAGTCACTGACTTAGTGTGAAGCAGAGTTGGAAACAGACTTCTCCTAAGATGGACTATCTTAAGATTTTTTTTCAAAGATGACAAAAATGAATCAAAAGCAAGGAAATACTGATATGACCATAAATATTTTTATTAAATGTGAAAATACACGGGCATAAAAATAGTACCCATATTTGTAGACATGTCTGAGACCCATTTCAAATATTAGGTTCCTTTTTTATTAAAACACTAAATTGAGATGGATTAAGTTACTTAGTCTTTTCTCATTCATGGTAGGAGTAATATTTTAACAAACATCTCCAATGTTTACCTCCTCCTTGCTCGGCTTTCCACTGCAGGGAAGTGTTTCAGCCACAGATAAGTGCAACAAAACCAGTTACTATACACAGAGCCACGCAGTGGCTAATTTTACTCTTAAATCATTCAGCAAATGAGATCATCTGTAAACGAAAAAATCCCAAATGATCCCACTTTAAACGTCATTTAAAATTACAGGATAAACTTACACTAACACAAAAGGAATGATCTGATTTAGAAAAAGGATATTAGTTGCTGGCAAATTAACGTTTGCCTTCTACTTTCTTTTATAAATCTGAAACGAGAACTACATTCAACAAAGTTGCATGAACTTCTCTAGGTTATACCATTGCTAAAAACTTGGCAAGACCCATTACCAGTACCCTGTATCTGTAAGGCAGTCGGCTCTCAGACAGACCTCACCAAGGAGCCACTTTTAACTTATATATCTTATGTCGTTTTTTTCATGGTCTATGTTACAGACAACTTCTGACCCATCATATGCCTTTAAAGGTAAAATTTTTCATCATCCATTGTGAGTAGACAATGGTATTAATTTCAAATAGTGGTTTTATTGGCTGCCTTTTTTACCCAATTATGTTTTTCTCTTAAACTGCGGTAGTTTTAAAATTCCATTATCAGGGCAACACAAATCTGTTTTCATACCAATACTTTAAAAAGATTTTTAATACTGACTAAAGAGAGACATTGTAGAATTAGTAATATGTTACATCCAATTCCCATTAGTCAACTATCAAAAGTTTTTTCAAGTTTTCATCTATTAATATGGTAAGAAACCACAAACTTTCAGAACTGAGGAATGAATTAAATTGAATCTCCCTTTTTGGAACTTTTTCACAATGCTTCTAGACTGATGTGTCTAATACTTCGTGCTGGGCAAAATATCCACAAAGTACAGACCACTGATAACTCCACTCATGGAGCTCACCAAGAAGGAAAGAAGGTAGGAGCAGACTAACAGAGCTAAGGCTGGGGTACTCACTCTCTGATTTGACTTTTCCTGAAAGAGCCATAAAGGTTACCTGGCACCTGCAGTCCCCAAGGGAAAATGAAAGTAGCCCTCTTCAAAAAAGGGAAATGCCTTTTCAGTAGTACAGTTTTTTTGGTTTTACACTGCATCATGGTACCCTATGTCAGACAGGCAGGGGGAATGATGATCTCTTTACACATCCAGGCTTTTCTCAGTCACTTTAAGGGAAGCAAGCAGTGACTGTCTTTCCATGTGGGAGAGAAAACTGCCGATGCCCGTCAAGACTGGAACTCAACGGTTCTTACTTTCCTCATGAATCAGCGAAACAACAGATTGCAGAGAATTCATTTCCCTCCATGGCGCTGGCATGTGGCACCAGAGCTGCTGCTCTCTCTCCACTGAAAACAGGCAAGTAAATCTGCACGTTAGGTATGATAACTAAGTTAAATCCATGATAAGAATTTGGGAGCTGAAACTATGGTTGTTACAAGTGGAGAAAAATGAAAATGCAAATAAGCCTCTGGGCAGCAGGTGGGAGGTGGCCCGGCCGTGGGCACATCTCCTGTGTGGCCCTGGACCCCTTCTTGTTGGCAGCTGTCATGCTCTCCAAGTGGAAGGGCACGTGATTTATTTCCTTTTCTTCTGATTTTATGTGAAAATTCTTACTTTTCAAAGTAGGTAAAAGCCATCACTATATTTCAAATAGAACACAGTGATATCATATACAAAAGGAACCAGATTGAAAAAGATATTACTGATATTGCCAGTATTGAGATCAGTTCAAGAATAGACAGAAAAACCTTGGAAATTATTTTTACACTGGCTTGAACTGAAGCATTAAAGCAAAATGAAAGTTGCAAGATGTTTACTAGTTTTCCAAATGCATTGTTAAGTTTATTGGTAAGAAATAGATTCCTAAATAGATGCAGAAAGCACTTAAGTGTTTTGCTATATTTAACTATGTGGTTTCTCTCACTTAAAAATTTTGTCCACATATGTTTCAGGATATGACTACAGACAAAGACAATTTGTGCTCTGCTGTTATGTATGTCCATCGTCCGGATGCCTCCCACAGTGAATTAAAATGCTTGATTTCAAGGTGATAATTCCTATCTAAAGTAATTCCCTCAGCTTTCAAATGCAGCATCAGTAATTCCATAAATATTCAATATTCTTGATTAAAGTAACATTTTTTAGGGAAGAAGTATTCGGTATACAAAGAGATTAGTTCATTTCTTAAATAGTTATCTTCCTAAAAGGTAAGAAGAACATCTCAAGAGGAGATGCCATTTTATTAAATGAAACAACAGTGGAAATACAGACCTGACTGAACTTGCAAGCCTGTGTTTCCTTGTAGGCAGGAGAACATCTAGAGGCATCAAGATCTGGTAGAGGGCAGGTCTACTGCTTACCACATACCACCAGACAGGTCCCACATGGGAGACCACAGCACTTTAAAATAAGATTGAGCTTTGATATAAAAGAAGGAGAAAGAAGCTGGCCCACTGTCTTTACTTAAAAGTGGGAATTGCGTTCTGTGTTTATGTTTGTAAGCCAATCCTGTTACATGAAATTCTCTATAAAAACTCAGAACATCAGTTCTTGAAAAAGTATTCCAATCTGCACTTCAGCAATATTTTAAATACTGCCACTATTTTATCTCAACCTGTTTTACCTATAGCTTTTAGTTTGTTGTGTTTAATATTAAAAGGGTTCATAGATATTCATAAATTCAAGTTTCAGTATTCTTCTGCAGGTATTGAATTTAAAAAAATGTACATTTAACATTAATCCAAAGTCTAAACCTGGATATATTATCATTTGGTGGCAGGATTCCTAAAAGATGGTCTCTTGCTCCTCTTCCAGTGACAGCCATGTTGACAGACCAGAGAGCTATAAACACGTGCATACTAAAGATTTCATACTCGCAAGTGACTAGATTGACCACATTGAAGCACAGTTGTCCCTAAGAACGTACAGCTCAAAATTCTCTTTAAGAATACAGAGGCATAATTACACTTGTAAGCACTGACTTACTCTGCAAGGCTATGAAGAGAAGAATCGCAGCTCCAGTGTAGAAAAATACAGATTACGTGAGCACTTCCACAGGTGAACCCGCCTCAGACCACTTCCTCCAGGCAGCATAAAATGTACGCAGGCGCTTTGTCAGAAACAGAACCATACCTTGCCTCCCTGCCACTGCAAACCCATTAACCATAAATCTAACAGGGATAAGAACAGATTTTTTCCTATTAAAGCAACTCTTTGGTCATGGACAAACTGAAAGATTTGAATTTTTTTTTCATTAGGGTCCCGGAACAAGATTTGTTTGTTTTTAATCTTTTTACAAAAATTAAGGAAGAAGAGCAGAAAAACAGTTGGTTTAATTGAAGTGGAATTTAAATCTAAATGGTCCGCCTGAGCTGAAGGGATTGAACCCTTGCCATGAGTTCCAGCTTCTGTGGAAAGGGTTGCCACCGCCTCCTTGCTGGCTCTCTGCATCCAGGGGATCTTCTCCGTCATCAAACTTCTTCCTCATTTCTAGAAAGAAATCAGCGAATTAACAACCAGGTAATAACTAAGGTACAGCGGCATGGGAAGTGTTTTCTCTGGGTAGAGGAGGGTGGGTGGGTTTGAGGGGCTACATACTTTTCAGTTATCAAGCATTGTGCTTGACATTCAAATTCAGGCTCTCCCATTCCCACCCAGAAGAAACAGACTATAGAAATCTGCCGCAAAAAAGGGTGAGGTTCAGGGTTGAAAATAGGTATTTACTGAAATTCAAGTCCCTAAATCTCACCCCAGAAGAAGCTACCCAAGCTTGGTTACTACCCAATGAAATTACTTAGAAAAAAGTAATTTGAGAGAAAGAAACTTCCAAAAGTCTGCTCTTCTAATGAAACAACCAGATTACCACCCTAATCCCCAAAATAAAATGTATAAGGCAATGACTTCATCAAGTATCTAATGGGCACCACAGAGCCTCAGTTTAATCCAAACAGCACTAAGGCTCCTCAGACATAAGAGGAGAGGGGCCTCCAGAACGTACAACTCCAGGAGGCTCTCTTTTTCCTCCCCATGCAATTGGTGCCTCAGTGGTGGGGCCTCTGAGCCCTGAGCAGAAAGAGACCAATGCAGACACATGGGAGAAGGCAACAGAGAGGAATACTGCAGGGATAGGAAGAAAGAGCTCATGTCCCCAGAGCCATTAGAAAATCCCTGGAAGACAACCTAGGCAAATACTAGTCAGAACATAGGCATGGGCAAAGATTGCTTTTGGCGTTTCTTTTTTTTAATTTTTTTTGAAAAAGAGAAAAGGGGGGAGAGAGAACAGGAGTCTTGTTCTATTGCCCAGGCTGGAATGCAATTTAAAAGTAGGTATTAAAAACCCCTTTTATGCCAATAATTGTGCTTAACAGTGGAGACAGGAAGGGATAAGGAAAGAAAATAACAAACAGTCAACCAATATTTCTTTTAAATCTGTGAAATGCTGTGCAAATGCTGAAGAGTGATTTGCTTCCATTTATGTGGTCACTTTCAAAATAGGTATAATGTGATACTAAAAAAAAAATGTACGTTCTGTGGACCTGGGGTGAAGAATTCTATAAATATTCACTGAGTTTACTTGTTACAGGTCTGAGTTCAAATCATAAATGTCCCTGTTAATTTTCTATCTCATTGATCCGTCGATTATTAACAATGCGGTGTCCAAGTCTCACAGTATTATTGTGCGGGAGTCCAAGTCTCTTTATAAGTCATTGAAAACTTGTCTTATGTATCTGGGTGCTCCTGTATTGGGTGCATATATATTTATGATCATTGACTCCTATTGTTGCATTGATCTTTTTATCATTATGTAATGTCCTTTGTTTCTTTTAGTCTGTTACTATTAGTCTATTTTGTCAGAGACAAAAGTTTCAACTCCTGGGTTTTTTTTTTTTCTCTCCATTTGATTGGTGAGTCTTCCTCCAACCTTTTGTTTTGCATCTTTGTGTGTCCTTGCTTATGAGATGGATCTGGATATAGAGTGCCAATGTGTTTTGACGTTTTATTCAGTTTGCGTGTCTATGTCTTTGATTGGGGTGTTTAATCCATTTAAATTTAGAATTAATATTGATATTTGTGAGTTTAATATTGTCATTTAATGCTAGCTGGCTATTTTGCCCATTAGTTGATATAGATTCTTCATCACGGAGACACTCTTTACCTTTTGGTAAGTTTTTGGGATGACTAACACTGGTTGTTCATTTCTGTGTAGTGTTTCTTTCAGAAGCTCTTGTAAAGCAGGCCTGGTGGTGATGAAATCTCTGAGTGCTTGCTTGCTTCGCAAAAACTTTTATTTTACCTTCATTTATAAAGCTTAGTTTGGCAGGATATGAGATTCTGGGTTGAAAATTCTTTGAGAATATTGAAGATTGACCCCCACACTCTCCTAGTTTGTAGGGTTTCTGCTGAGAGATCTGCTGTAAATCTGAGAGGCTTCCCTTTATGGGTAACCTGACCTTTCTCTCTAGCTGCCCTTAGAATTTTCTCCTTTATTTCAACCCTGGTGAATCTAACAATTATGTGTCTTGGGGTTGCTCTACTTGAGGAATATTTCTGTGGTGGTCTCTGTATTAACTGGAGTTGAGTATTGTCCTGCCTTACTAGGTTAGGAAAGTATTCCTGAAGAATATTTTCCAGCTTGGATTCATTCTCTTCCTGGCATTCAGATACACCTATCAAACATAAATTAGGTCTTTTCACATAGTCCCATATTTCTTGGAGACTTTGCTCATTCCTTTTTACTTTTTCTTCTCTAATCTTGTCTTCTCGTTTCATTTCATTAAGTTGGTCTTCAATCTCTGATAGTCTTTCTTCTGCTTGATCAATTCAAGTGTTAAAACCTGTGCATACTTCACGGAGTTCTCATATTGTATTCTTCAGTTCTATTAATTCATTTATATTCCTCTCTAAATTGTCTATTCTCGTTAGGATTTCATCAAACCTTTTTTCAAGGTTCTTAGTTTCTTTACATTGGGCCAGAACATGTTCTTTAAACTCGAAGAAGTTTCTTATTATCCACCTTCTGAAGCCTAATTCTGTTATTGGAATGCACTCGTTCTCCATCAGGCCTTGTTCCTTGTTGATGAGAAACTGTGATCCTCTGTAGAGGGAGAGGCATTCTGATTTTGAGTATTCTCAGCCTTTTTACGCTGGTTTCTTCCCGTCATTGTAAATTTATCCACCTGTTGTCTTTGTAATTACCGATTTTCAAATTAGGTCCCTGAGTAGACATCCAACTTGTTGATTCCCAGTGCCGAAATCTGAGCAACCCACTGCGACAGCTGAAACAGCAGCGACAAGATTCCCGGTGCTTTTCTGCCCAGGAGTCTCCAGTCTCGCTTCCTTCTTGAGTCCCTTTTTCAATCAGCTAAATGGGCAACTCTGCCTTCGTGGAGCTCCAAACGTTGACCAAAAGGGGAGCCAGTCACGTTTACTCTGTACTGAGAACTGCTGCGCCGGGGTGCCAGCCACAAGAGTTGTGCTGGTGACCCGTGGGGCTCCTCCGCTGGAAATCTCCTGGTCTGTGAGCAACAAAAATTCATCTGAAAGTGTGGTGTCCTCTCGTTCTCTGCGCTTTCACTGGGAACTACAAGCCTGAGCTGCTAGTGATCGGCCATCTTGGATCTCTCTATGCTTTTGGCGTTTCCATTGTTAAATTGCAACAAAAGCAAAAATTATGGGATCTAATTAAACCAAAGAACTTCTACAAAGCAAAAGAAACCATCAATAGAGTAAAGAGACAACCTACAGAAAGGGAGAAAAATTTTGCAAACTATGCAGCTAACAAAGGTCTACAAGGAACTTAAATTTATAAGAAAAAACCAACCCCATTAAAAAGTGGGCAAAGGACATGAACAGACACTTCTCAAGAGAAGACATACATGCAGCCAACAATCATAGGAAAAAAAGCTCAACATCACTAATCATTAGAGAAATGCAAATCAGAAAGTCAAAACAAAAAAAAAAAAAAAAACAGATGCTGGCAAGGTTGTGGAGAAAAAGGAATGCTTATACACTTTTGGTGGAAGTGTAAATTCATTCAGCCATCATGGAAGACAGTGTGGCAATTCCTTCAAGACTGAAATACCATTCAACCCAGCAATCCCATTACTAGGTATGCACCCAAATGAATACAGATTGCTCTATTATAGAGACAAATGCACATGTCTGTTTATTGCATCTCTATTCACAACAGCAAAAGACATGGAATCAACCTAAACGCCTGTCAATAGACTAAAGAAAATGTGGTACATATACACAATGGAATACTATGCACCCATAAAAAAGAACAAGACCATGTCCTCTGCAGGGGCATGGATAGAGCAGGAGGCCATTATCCTTAGCAAACTAATGCAGGAACAGAAAACCAAATACCACATCTTCTCATTTGTAAGTAGGAACGGATCAGGAAAAACAACTAATGGGTACTAGACTTAATACCTGGGTGATTAAATAATCTGTACAATAAACCCCCGTAGGGAAAAGGGGAGGGTCAGTGGGAGGGGGAGGTGGGGAGGGATAGCCTAGGGAGAAATGCCAAATGTGGGTGAAGGGGAAAAGGAAAGCAAAGCACACTGCCATGTGTGTACCTACGCAACTGTCTTGCATGCTCTGCTCATGTACCCCAAAACCTAAAATCCAATAAAAAATTAAAAAAAAAAAAAAAAAATGACTTCCCAAAAAAAAACCCCCGTAATACACATTTACCTATGTAACAAACCTGCACATGTACCACTGAACTTAAAAAAATACTCAGCATATAGCTAGGTTTTTTTGATAAATGGGAAATAGAGAATGCAGAAAAAATGTATTTACAGAAATAATACCAAGTCCCACTTTGCTCTCTCACAGTAATTTGTCCTTTAGGAGCACAAAGATACTTACAAGCCAGTTGACTTCATTCTGGGACGTTAATCTGAAGCCACACATTAGGAAGAGGAAACCCATCAGTAAAATGGAGGGTTCTTATGCTGAGGGTTAATAACTAAGCAGGTATTATAGTTGATCTGAAACTCAGCTTTGTTTTATAAAAGCTAATGCACTTAGACTCAGGCCCCATCCTTGGTATCTCACAGGCAAAATTTATCTAGGGTGTTGGCGCTTCTTAGAATAGTAGTGAACTCTGCATAGTGATGGGGGTGATAATGGCTCTAGAGAAAGGATGCTATGAATGGAAAGGGAAGTGAACTCAGCTATATCCACATCATGTAATCAGTCAAAAATTCAATGGAGTGGTCTGCATACATCTCAAAGAATGAGGTAACTATTTTTCAATGAGAAAAAACTATAGCCAAGATTTATTTCATGTGATTCTACTGTCATAAATATGACACATGTGTTTTGATATGTGTACAGTAGAAAAACCAAAGTCTTTAAAAGAAAAGACAGTTCATCCTGAACATAAGAACAGGAAGTAAAAGGACCTGCAGCTCTTTCCTACATGCATGTCTCTGTGCAGGGACACCCAACCCCTTGGTTAGCGCCCTGCTACCTTAAAGCTTAGACCAAGAGTCCCCATCCCATAAGAAGATCCTGACTCCCACTCTGATACACTACTACACCTGTGCACTGCACAAACTAAGAGGACTGAACTGCTCAAGGCAGGTTGTAGGCATTCAATATATGCTGAGTAACAGGACAGTATGTGTCCTACACTACTTGATAAGGGAAGTACATTTCTGTCTCCTTTGCTGGTTATAAATTACTTGAAAATAAAGGATTATTTACCTTCAATTCCATTCCATAAGTAGGTGCTCAAGAAAAAGATTTGACAAATAAACATAACATTTGCATCTCTTTTTGTTTCATTTGTCTGGCTCAGATCACAGCTTCTGCTGCCACTGACATGGAATGCCACAAAAAAGCACTAAGTGTCAGCTTAACATGAAATTCCCTCTGGCAACAGCAGAGCATTGTCCAGTATTACCTCATTGCTTGGCCTGTCTCCCTGTTACGAAATTTCCAGGCCAAATTATTGTACGGCAAAAGAACACATGTGGCCAGGTACCAAGGCTCACACCTGTCATCTCAGGACTTTGGGAGGCTGAGCTGGGAAGATCACTTGAGCCTAGGAGTTAAAGACCAGCCTGGACAACATAGCGAGACCCCACTTCTACAAAAAGCAAATATTTGGAAAAAGAACACACACATAAACCAGTAAATCTAACATTCATCTGATTTAGGCCAAGATTCCTGGTGAACACACACGGGGTGAAGCAGGCCCTAGGCCAGACATCTGCTCTTCTACGCTGTGCAATCCAGTCTGGCAAGCTGGTTTCCTTATCAAGCTCCTGTGAGCTTGGTAGAGAGAATTCATCACTGACCTCTGAGGTTAGAAGGAACCTGAGATACTGTTACCCTCCATGTTGAAAAAACTGAGACCAAAAAGTTCTGAGAACTTGTTTGAGTAGAAAAAAGATTCAAAGTCAAGCCCTCTGATTCCACGTTTGATGGCTTTCCACTGTACCCTGCAATGAGGGGGTCCCCAGCATAAGAGGGCTGGATAAGGGCAGGCATAAAACTACAATTCTGGAACTGGGCTCAGGACCAGTCACTGCCTACACAGGCCCACATGGGGAACGCACCACGTGTTCCACCCTCACTTCTAATACCACCTCTAGGAAGAGTGAAAGGAATAAAGGCCAATAATACCTGGATCAGAGAGGACTTCTTTAGCAGCTGCTATATCAATGAACTTTTTCTCAGCTTTTTTCTTTTCTTCCTCATTCTGGAAGTTATCTGGGTGCCACTGCAGTGCCAGTTTTCGGTATGCTTTAATGATTTCTTGCTTTTTGGCATTTCTGAGGGGTGGTAAAATAAATAATCATTAGTGGAGACATGTCTAACATACTATCATAAAAATCAGAATTAAGATCCTATTGCCAATAAACAAACTGGTTTTGTAAAATAGTTCCAATGGTATCACAGGCCAAGGATCTGCACACACAGTTCTGGATGCTCATTAAAGCTGACATCAGCCTTGGGTATCGCTCACTAAGATTACTAGGAATAAAGCACTCCTGATCTCTAGAATTTTCCCTTTTTTAAAAAAGGTACATCAATGAATTGTTTAACTTTCTGAATTTCCAAGCTACAATTCTCGGCATTAAAAAGATTATTTGACTCTGAACCCCACTTTCAATTATGTTTCTACATTAGCTTACTTAATAGTAAGCACAGATATCCCGAATTTTGATTGAAAGATTGCTGTTACAATCTTAGCTAACAACTGGGAGGTATATCATTTACTTAATATGTATTTTTATATAAGGTAAATCTTAATTTCAAACTTAATTCTGAAAGCACTACTTTATGTTTAGGCCTAGAGAAGGCATTTTCTTTCCCCATTCCCTCTCCTCCTCCATCCTCACCAAAAGAAAGCTCACTCCTACCCCTTTACCCTTCTTTAAAAAATCTAGGCCTGGGACCCATTCATGCTACAGTGTCATATCTTTGTTGCCAACTACTAATTCTCTGTTGTTGCATTATTGGTGTCTATCAAAGAAGCCTGCCTATAACACACTCAGAATAGCTCTGTAATGTTAAGATTGTTAGGGTTTAATCCATATGACTGAAATTATATAACAATGAATCAGAGGGGAAAAAAGCAATGATTACCTTTGAAACAGTTGATTAAAAATAGCAAAGTAAATTTTAAATTAATAATTCACCTTTTTACTCCCAAGATTTTATAATAATCTCGTTTCTGCGACTGTTTCAATAATCTTTGTGCTTTCTCTAGACCTTCTCGAATCTGCTGATCGTTTTCATTGTGTTCCTGAGCAGTTTCATAATCCTGAATAGCTGTCAAAATATGTTTAAGATAATACTGTTAAGGCAAATTATCATTTGTTGCCTTTTCTTATCCTGTAAAATTGATGCTAAAGTTATCATCCCCCAACCCTTTTACTCTTTGGCCATTACTGCCAAAAACCTTAAATGATATCCCCTTAGTAACTTTGATTAAAAAAAAAAATATTTAAAAGAGGCTGGGTGCAGGGGCTCGTGCCTATAATCCCAGCATTTTGAGAGGCTGAGGTGGGTGGATCACGAGGTCAGGAGTTCAAGACCAGCCTGGCCAACATAGCAAAACCCGTCTCTACTGAAAACAAAAACAAAAACAAAAAAACATTAGCCAGGCTTGGTGGTGCATGCCTGTAGTCCCAGCTACTCCAGAGGCTACGGCAATAGAATCACTTGAACCCGGGGGCGGAAGTTGCACTCCAGACTGGGTGACAGAGTGAAACTCCCATCTCAAAAAAACCAAAAAAGTTTAAAAGGCATAATAAGATGGAGTTTAGGTAGTTTATTATTCTCATTCAACAAAATGTACTGCTGTTTTCCTGCCCACCCTCCTGCATTATCTCCCCATACCCTTGGGGTAAATATGTTAATATCAGCAATTTATCCAGAACAATTTTACCACCACTAAGACTGAAGTGATTGTTGCACAGGAAAGAAAGACAGTGATAAAGAAAATGTCCTGGTCAGGTATGGACTGACAACAGTGCAGAACAATTAGATGTTTAGAAATGGAGCAGGAGGTGGGTTTGGCCAATGGGAAGCTAGAAAAGAAAAATGTATAGAAGGAAAGGAACAGAAGGAACTGTCCACAGTCCAAATGACTGAGTAACCCACAGGCTTTAATATTACTGCAAACCTAAGTGCCAATCAAAATGCAAAACACATACAGTCCCAGTACAGGGAGTCTGGTGACTATCCACATTACATCTTTCATTTTATTTATTTATTTTTTTAATTTTTAAGAGACAGGATCTCTATCACTTAGGCTCACTACAGCCTCAACCTCCCAGGCACAAGCCATACTTCTGTCTCAGGCCCATGAAGTAGCTGGCTAAAGCACGCACCACTACGCCCAGCTAATACACAGCATTTTAAATACTTAGAAAATACAAGGCACCTGGGTATCTAAGATCATGTAGAAGAGAGTCAACGCAGCAGGCCTGAGACTGCTATCCTTACAAAAGCCTGCTGACAAGGTTGGCTTACTGCTGATGGCTGGGAAGCCGGATTTCAGGAGTGTTCCCAACATTCCATGCTAAGAATGACTCATGCCTAAACTGTTTGTATGAAAAATATAGATTATGCTAAACATCTTTCCTTCTGGGGTCTGGAATTTTGGTGCAGGCCAGACAGAAGGTGTCTAGTGACTAGTTCCCAACAAAAACTCTGGGGGTAGTCCTCTAACGAGCTTCCCTGGTAGACAACATTGCATACTTTGTAGAGTTTCTCAGTGCTGCGAAAATTAAGCTTGTCTTTTGTGACATCACAGGGAGAGGAGTCCTGCAGTCTTCTGCCTGCTTTCCTCCAGATTTTCCCTCTTGCACCTTTTCCCTGTGCCGACTTCACCTTTTCACTGGAATGAGAACCCTGAGTACAACTATATGCTGAGTCCTGTGTGTCTTCTTGCCAGATCACCAAATCTGGGGATAGTCTAGGGAAGCCCCCACTCAAATTTTTCTCAATGTTCTCCCTGGATAGATAATTCTAATAATAGATTGCTGGGTTCAAACTCTAGTTTTTATGAAAATGCATTTCACTGGGGGAAAAGACATCTGATCACTGGCACTTTGGACAGATTAAAATGAGAAAGATATTAGAGTAAGACTGAGACAGCCAAATGCTGCAAAGGAGTTCCCGGAAAAACCACAACAGGCCTGTGCACTGGGAGGAGCGTGCACTGGGGTGGAGCCTCAGGAAGTTCCTGTGGCCCTTGGCAATGGAGAGGAGCCTGGCCCCTCCTCTTACTGCATGGAACCTGGGATGCAATCTGCGAGGTGGGAAGCACACTAGCAGGGACTCTGGCCATGCCGAGGCTCCATTTCCCTTTCTTTCTTTTCACCTGATAAACCCTTACCTGTTCAAACTGTCTGTGAGCCTAATTTTTCGTGGCTATGTGACAAGGAACCCGTCTTTAGCTGAACTAAGGAAAAGAGGCCTACGACAAGACTAACAAATTTAGACAGGCTACACTGCATAGAAAAACGCACCACCACCACCACCACCTTTGCCCTGTGGCACTGGGGAAGGGGGGACCCTTTGATCTTTTATCCTAACAGTGAGTTCTCACATCAGTGCATCAACATTAAATTAACTGTTACTGTGGCCCAACCCCACAGGCACATCAAAAACTTCTCCCAATTTAGTATAAAAACAAAACCATCATAAATAGTAGTAAGGTTTAACTTTACAATTAACACCCACAGCATAACACACAACTTCATAAGAAAATATACCTTGAAGGAATACAATAGGAAAATGTTTCAATACATACAATTTTGCTACTTGTGTAGACTCTACATTTAAAACATGTTTTCATTTTTACATGTTCAGGTTATCTCCCCAAAGCAGTCTTTTGTATCATAATTGTATTAGAATTTAAGGTGAATACATTTTTCCTAATGTAAGACAAAAATGTGAAATTATAGGTTGCTTCCTATATTCACATAATTGCAGATAACCATTAGAAACTTAAGTATGGATGACATAAGACTCCCCACTGACATAACTAGAAAAACCATTTTAAATTATATTTTCTCACATTCTACACACTAAAAGAATCTTAAAAAAACAAAAACCCAACAGACAAAAACAAGCAATGGGGTTGGAAAAACTGGCCAGCCATATGCAGAAAAGTGAAACTAGATGTCTTCCTTGCACATTATACAAAAATTAACTCAAGATGGATTAAAGACTTAAACATAAAACCTAAAACCATAAAAACCCTAGAAGAAAACCTAGGCAATATCATTCAGGACATAGGCATGGGCAAAGATTTCATGACTAAAACACCAAAAGCAATGGCAACAAAAGCCAAAATTGACAAATGGGATCTAATTAAACTAAAGAGCTTCTGCACAGCAAAAGAAACTATCATCAGATGAACAGGCAACCTACAGAATGGGGGGAAATTTCTGCAATCTATCCATCTGACAAAGGGCTAATATCCAGAATATACAAGGAATTTAAATTTATAAGAAAAAAAAACCCCATCCAAAAGTGGGTAAAGGATATGAACAGACACTTCTCAAAAGAAGACATTTATGCAGCCAAGAAACACACAAAAAAGCTCATCATCACTAGTCATTAGAGAAATGCAAATCAAAGCCACAATGAGATACCATCTCATGCCAGTTAGAATGGCAATCACTAAAAAGTCAGGAAACAACAGATGCTGGAGAGGATGTGGAGAAATAGGAATGCTTTTACACTGTTGGTGGGAGTATAAATTAGTTAAACCATTGTGGAAGACAGTATGGTGATTCCTCAGGGATCTAGAACCAGAAATACCATTTGACCCAGCAATCCTATTACTGGGTGTATACCCAAAGATTATCAATCACTCTACTACAAAGACACGTGCACATGTATGTTTATTGCAGCACTGTTCACAATAGCAAAGACCTGGAACGAACTCAAAGGCCCATCAATGACAGACTGAATAAAGATAGATAAAGAAAATATGGCACATATATACCATAGAATACACAGCCATAAAAAAAGTGAATTCATATCCTTTGCAGGGACATGGATGAAGCTGGAAACCATCATTCTCAGCAAACTAACACAAGAACAGAAAACCAAACACCACATGTTCACTCCTAAGTGGGAGGTGAACAATGAGAACACATGGACACAGGCAGGGGAACATCACACACTGAGGCCTGTCAGGCAGGGGAACATCACACACTGAGGCTAGAGGAGGGATAGCACTGGAGAAACACCTAATGTAGATGAGTTGATGGGTGCAGCAAACCACCATGGCACATGTATACTTATATAACAAACTTGCATGTTCTGCACATATATCCCAGAACTTAAAGTATTTAAAAAAAAACACACACACCCAATAATGTTGATCCCATTACCATAACTAAACAGCTATGAAAGGTAGAATAAGCCAGACACATGTCAGCCATGGATAAAGAATACCATGCTACATATTAACCAATTCATTTTCTAACCTCCGAATCTAAAAAATTTTATCTATCCCAAATTATTTTTCTCTATATCCCCTTCACATTCTTAAGGAGCAATGCAAATCACCAGCTAAGGATGGGAGACGTATGCACACACATTTGTCCACCCTCCTTCCCACCAAAATGACGAAAAGTAATATAACCATAGCAGCACTGAGGACAACAGCAGACCAGCAACTTTGATAAATTTCTGGAAGATAGGAAGTGGGAGCACATTAGTAATAAACCTAAGTAGAGAGAACCACAGTGCACGCACACACCATAAGAGGTCCTAGCAGATCTGGAAGCCATTATTTTTGGCAGAGGACCCTCAGTTTGGCAAGCAGAAGTAGCTATAAGGCAGCTGTCAGGATAGTCCATGAGATGACTATGGGATGGCTGGGCAGGCTCTGGCCCCTACATGTGGAGCCACTGGCTGTAGCATTAACTCCCACTGAGGTCCAAGAACCAGGCTATAAGCAGAAGGAAAAATGTGCCTGAGGAGGGCCCCGTAGGACACTCAAGACCTCTACAACAAACTGGGAACAAACGAACAAAAAGCAGTCCCACCCAGAAGTTAAAAAGACCATTGGCTCAAAAAGCAAAGCCCAAACAGAACATTTTCACAGAGAAAGCTGTCACTAACCTACCTCCCTGTAAAGCAGCAGTCTTTCCAGAGATTTTTGCAAACTTTTACACCACAGGTGATTCCTAAACAATTGCACCGAATCCTTACCCTAATTGTTTGCTATATATAAAAGTCAGTTAAACATCGTTTTTCCTCCAAATTTCTGAGAAGCTGCAATACTGCCTTCTGCCATCAGACACACTCATACCACTTTTTGAGGATGCACTTTCAGCAAAATAAAAACAAGAATCCAAGAAAAATGAAGACATGATTAAATTTTTAAAAAGAAGACAGAAAAACCCAGAAAGACAGTGAAAGGAGTTCTGGGCAAAAGATGTGTGGCAGGCCAGGCACAGCCATGAGTTATGGGGCTAAAGAATATCTTCACAGAGAAAAGAAAAAAAAGGGTTAAAAAAAAAAAAAAAAAAACTCAGAGTATCTTCACAGAGAAAAGAAAAAAAGGTTAAAAAAAAAAAACCCCATAAAGAGTATCTTCACAGAGAGCAGATCTCATTCACACACAGTCATTAAAGCCTCAAGATGTTTCTGGGAAGTCAGAGGCATAGGTTTCTTCTGGCAAAGAAACAGTAACTCCACCTTGGGGTGAAGCTTACTAAAAAATCCTGTATCTGACACTGGTTGGTAAATGATTACATCTCCTTCTCTAAGGATTCAAACACATGACTTGATCCTGAAGCTATATATTCATAATATATTAGTCTACTAAATGGCTTTCGTTTCCTTACTATCCGCAGTTATAGAGGAAAGAATCTAAATACTACAAACATTATAAAAGTATATTAACACATACTTAACATGTAGTTGAAAGATAAGATGGAAATAAACTAATTTCCTTATTATCAGTAGTATACAATCAAGAGATGCTCTCTAAAAGTGACAGCAAGAAAGAGACTTGGGTATATTATAACTTATCTATATCACGTTAAAGCTGTAAATATAATCAAAAGATTAAATACTAAAATTGAAGGTGAGAAAGAACAGAAGGAACTAGTAAGGTCTACTCAGTTCTTCCTCTTCTATAGCAGGTAGACAAAGGAAGCTGCCTAAACTTGATAAATCGAGAACTAGAGGAAGACATACTTTAATTTCAATTACAGTGGTAACTAATAATTAGAAACTATTACATTAATACTAGAAATTATTTTAAAAGTGGTTACAGTTGGGTGCAGGACATGCACCTGCAGTCCCAGCTACTTGGGAGGCTGCGGCAGGAGGACTGCTTGAGGCCAGGGGTTTAAGACTACAATGCACTGTAATTACACCTGTGAATAACCACTGCACTCCAGGAGGGACACTAGAAATATTCAAACAATCTAAATGACAACAGAAAGAGAGGAACAAAAAATTCAAAAGCAAAAGGACAAAAAGAAAACAATAGTAAAACGGCAGACCTACATACAAGTATATCAGCAATCACAATACTCATCAAGTAAACACTCCAAAGGACAGAGATTACAATTATCAAAACTGATAAAAACAACAAGTTCCAACTATATGATGTCTACAAGAGACACACAGATAAAGGCACAAAGACATTGAAAGTAAATAAATGAAGACAGATACACCATGCAAGCAATAGATCAAGAAGGCAGAGGTGATGCTATTAATATCATATACAACTTCAAGAAAGAGTATTGCCAGTGATAGCAGGAAGACTGAGTAACAGTAAATGTAAAAATTCATCAGGAGAACACTTGACAGTCATAAATATACAGGCTGCTAATAGCAGAGCTTCAAAACGCATAAAGAAAATATTGACGATATCAAAGAGAGAGACAGGAGAGTTCACAATTTCCACAACAGACAATCAAAGATCTTAACTCTCCCCTCATACCTGATAGAAAAATTAACAGAAATATCACGCCCAACAATTGTAGGATACGCCTTTTTTTCAAGTGTACATAGAATATTAATCAAATTGGATATCATGCTGGACCACAAAACAAGCCTAAATAAATTTAAAGGAAGGAAATCACACCTAGTATGTTCTTTGACCACAGTGGAATTAAAATCAAAATAAATAATAAAGTACCTAGGAAACCATCAAGTATTTGAAAATTAGAACACATATACATAATCAGTGCCTCACAGAAGTCAGAAGGGAAATTAGAATACACTTCAAGCCAAGTTAGAATGAAAGCAAGACAAAATGCGAAAGGTGCAACTTTAAATGCTTATATTTAAAAAAGGAAAGGCCTAAAATAAATGAACATTCAACCTTAAGAAGCTAGCAACAGCACAAAGTATAACCAAAGTCAGTCTAAGGAACTGAAGAGCAGAAATCAATAAAATAATAAAGAAAAACCATAGAAATTATTAACAAATTCCAAAGTCGGTTCCTTAAAAAGACCAAAAAAACTGACCAAACTCTGTCTACAATGATCAACAGGAAAAAAAAGAAAACACAAATTATTAATATTAGAAACAAAGCAGGAATCATCTTACAGACTTTTAGAAATTTAGACATTAAAGAATAATATTACGAACCTCATGCTGAAAAATTCAGCAATGTCAAGAAATGGAAACATTCCTTCACAGAGTAACTTATAAAAACTATCACAGATCAAACAGAAAATATTAATAACCTTATACTGAATAAAAAAAACTAAGGCCAGGTGCAGTGACTAACACCTGTAGTCCCAGCACTCTGGGAGGCCAAGGTGGGCAGATCACTTGATCCCAGGAGTTCAAGACTAGCTTGGGTAGCATGGCAAAACACCATCTCTACAAAAAATACAAAAACCAGCCAGGTGTGGCAGCATGCACCTGTAGTCCCAGCCACTTGGGAGGCTGAGATAGGAGGATCACTTGAGCCTGGGAGGTCAAGGCTGCAGTAAATCATAATTGTGCCACTGCATTCCAGCCTGAGTGACACAGCAAGACCTTGTCTCAAAAAAAACAAAAACAAACAAATACTAAAACTAAATTTGTCATCAAAAACATCCTATTAAAAAAAAACCCAACCTGTGCTATACTTTATCAATAGTTAAGAAATGTCACCAACTCTATTCAAAGCACTGGAGTAGGCAGACACAAATAATGGCCTTTGTTCATATAGTCTGTTTCTATTTAAAATTATGAAAAATCTTGAGTTTTTTTTCCCTTTCTTAAAGAAGCCTCTTCATTACTTGAGATCACACTCATTAGTCATAGGAAATTACAGTCTTGACAATTAACAAAAAGCCAAAATGAAAATGTATCTGACTGACTTCCCCTATCCAAACCTACCCTCTGCCGTAAGGCAAATGTGTTTGTCACTGTTGGGAGAGGCAAAGGACCCCTCCACAGCCTTCTAAGCTTCTGACCCAGCTATGCATCTGCAGCGAACTTCTTGATCTTTTTTCCTTAGCATTTTTTTACTTCCAACACTTTAAGTTTTTCATAATTTGGAAATCTGTCTTTTGTCTTTTTCTGCTGAATAATATTCCTTGACTATTGTAACCATTTCCTACTTCCTCACCTACATATTATACTCATGGGTTCACAGAGTTGGCACCATAGGGAGTACAATGTTTTACCCAACTGATATGGGCAGCAAATACGCTAATCCCAACCTAGCAGGTAGTAGTTTTCCTTGTAACCACACACTTTTCAAATGAAATGAGAACTCTGCAGCTGTGGCTAAGAGTTGAATAAAAGTGCGAGTGTGAATAAAAACTGCAAGCATGACTGTAAAGTCAGTTCAGGAAATGTACAACCAAAGGCTTTCATCAGTCTACATGCCATATCCCACTAATCGTCTTTGTAAAGGACTAGCCATTTATTCTAACCACCCGCTTCCAACTAATTAGCTGAGCTAAGGTAGATGTACTTATTTCAAGAGTTAAAAGTTTCAGAAGCATCTGCTTTATAGTTTCTGATTACATGTGTCTGTGGTTATTATGATGGTGTATAAAGCATGTCAATATCTAAGCAGCCTCCAACTTATAAAGTCACATTTAGTTATGATCCTAAATACAATCAGCATCTTCCAACAAAGACCAATCTCTTCCTCTTCTCCTCCCCATAAACAGAAGCCAGGAATCCCTGGTTAACAGCCTTGAAAAAAAGCATCACCCATGAGAAATGTGATCTGTTAGAAGGAATGGTCTCCTTTATGCCCAGGAGGCAGGCCTGTTGCCCCAATACCTCCCTCGTAGGCTGCCTGACCTGATGGCCTAAGTACCTGCTTTAAGTTCCACTACTCAGACTCCTTTGGGTTAAAAATGCTTATCTCATAAGGAATAGAAACCAACCAGTGTTTTTAACAAGTATCTTAAATTTGGCCACTCTTATTAAAACACAGATGTGTTGCGGGCTAAGCCTGCTGATGTACAGAGGTGGTATGATTTTTTTTTTTTTTTGAAATGGAGTTTCACTTTTGTTGCCCAGGCTGGAAGGCAGTGGTGTAATCTCGGCTCACTGCAACTTCTGCCTCTCAGGTTCAAGTGATTCTCCTGCCTCAGCATCCCGAGTAGCTGCAACTACAGGTGCGCGCCACCATGCCTGGCTAACTTTTGTATTTTTAGTAGAGCTGGGGTTTCACCAAGTTGGCCAGGCTGGTCTTGAACTCCTTACCTCAGGTGATCCACCCACCTCGGCTTCCCAAAGTGCTGGGATTACAGGCGTGAGCCACTGTGCCCGGCCAGTATGAATTTTGAACACAGAATACTTCTGCAGGATAGGGCGGGCCTAGGTAGTATGACCAGGTGGATGGAGTCCTAGGATAAGCAAGAAGGCACAAGAATCTGCAAAATGGACAACATCCTAGCGAATCAAAAGATAAACTTTACCTCTTTCACAATTTTGCCCAGGCCAGTCTTCATCCAGAGAAAGCACTCTACTTGGCCCTATTCACAGACTTCTGGACATTACTAGTAACAATAACAGTTGTATCAAATGGGGTTCATGCAGCAGTCGGTCACACGTTAGCTCAAGAAGCTAGCTAGCTAGCCCACACAATACTGTTTGTACAGAAAAGTCAATGCAAGTTCCATACAACCTGAAAATAAGTGTAGTGGAAACCACTGATTTAGATGTTTCCTAGCAGCATGGTGCTAAGCATTTTCTGAGCATCATCTTACTTAATAGCCACAACAATTCTAGGAGGTAAGTACTATTCTTATTCCTATTTTATTTTACAGATAAGCAGAGTAAGAAGTAACAAATAACTTGATTGAAACCATATAGCAAAATTAAACCGTATACTCCAAAGAAAATATACAGATGGCAAACAAGCATATGAAAAGATGCTCAACATCACTAATCATTAGGGAAATACAAATCAAAACCAAAACCAGTTATCACTTATACCCATTAAGAAGGCTACTATCAAAAAATCAGAAAATCTAAAGTGTTGACCAGCCAAGTATGGTAGCTCACACCTGTGATCCCAGCACTTTGGGAGCCTGAGGCAAGTGGATCATTTGAGGTCAGGAGTTTGAGATGAGCCTGACCAACATAGTGAAACCCGTCTCTACTAAAACTACAAAAAAAAAAAAAAAAATAAGCAGCGTTTGGAGGCACACACCTGTAATCCCAGCTACTCAGGAGGCTGAGACGGGAGAATCACCTGAACCCAGGAGGCACAGGTTGCAGTGGGCCGATATCACACCACTGCACTCCAGCCTGGGCGACACAGCAAGACTCTGTCTCAAAAAAAAAAAGTGTTGATGAGGATGTGGAAGAATTAGAATCTTTATGCACTGCTGGTAGAATTGTAAAATGGTGTAACCATGACAGAAACCAGTATGGAGGTTCCTCAAAAAATTAAAAATAGAACTACCATATGATTTTCCAATCCCACTTCTAGGTATATATACAAGACTGAAAGCAGTTCCTCAAGGAAATATTTGCATACCCATATCCATAGCAACGCCACTCCAAAAGCCAAAAGGCAAAAGCAGCACAAATGTTCATCAGTGGATGAATAAACAAAATGTGGGATATCTATACGATGGAATATTATTCAGCCTTAAAAGTAAAAGAAATCCTGTCACATGCTACAACATGGATGAACCTTGAGGATACTATGCTAAGTGAAATATGATGAGCACAACAAGACAAATACTATATGATTCCAATTATATGAAGATCTAGAATAGTCAAATACATAGTGACAGAAAGTAGAACAGTGATTCCCAGGGGCTGAAGCAGAGGTAAAGGGGAGCTGCTGTTTAATGGGTACAGATATCAGATTTGCAAGATGAAAAGTTCTGAAGATCTTGTTCACAGCAATATGAGCATATTTAATTCTACTAAATTATATGCATAAAAATTGTTAAGATGGTAACTTTTATATTGTATATTTTACCACAATTAAAAATATAGAATAACTGGCCGGGCGTGATGGTTCATGTCTGTAATCCCAGCACTTTGGGAGGCCAAGTCGGGCAGATCAGGAGGTCAGGAGTTCAAGACCAGCCTGGCCAACATGGTGAAACCCCACCTCTACTAAAAATACAAAAATTAGCTGGGCATGGTGGTGTGTTCCAGTAATCCCAGCTACTCAGAAGGCTGAGGCAGGAGAATTGCTTGAATCAAGACCCAGGAGACGGAGGTTGCAGTGAGTCAAGATTTTACCACTGCATTCCAGCCTGGGCTACAGAGTAAGACTCCGTCTCAAAAAAAGGAAAGAAAAAAAGAATTACTGCACAAAGCCAGCCAGACTCAAAGGTGGGACTAATTCTAAATTCCATACTCTTTCCACTATGACTTTATTGTATAATAAATAAATAAATTATCTTCATTCATTACGCAAAGATGAGTGCCAGCACAAGCACTAGGAATGCATCAGTTAATAAAAGAGTCACAGGTCTCTGCCCTCACACAGTATAAGTCCTAGCAAATATAACTGATCATTTCACAAGGACACCTGAATTATCCCTATGTTCAAAAAACTTTGCCAAGATTTTAGTATTGCTTCAATGTTCAGTTTGTTCCTCTCAAAAGCTATTAAAACAGAGACATGTAGAGAACTGAAGCGTTTCCCTTGATTTTTCAAGATCTCAGAGGCGTCCTCAAATAACAGTCTTACTTTACTTGCATTCTAGTGAGTGAAATCCCCTGATATGTTTCCTGGTAATTCTGGCTCAAGCTCCATATTAATAAATGCCCATGTTCCATTTTTCACTAACCTAAACCTCTTCTTTATTCATTATGTACTTGCCATCATTTTAAATTGCTTATTTTAAAAAGGTAAAACGAGAAAGCAGAGGAATATGGAAAGCATATTTCTAATTCAAGATTTCAACTAAAGACATAGTTATTTAGCTTAGTTAAGTAAGATTATTATTAATTCACATCATTTACTAAACCGCTGATTCAAATCCAAACAAGTCAGGTAATACCTGGCAGTTTCAGTTATACAGACTCTTTTCCTTTCTTTCTTTCTTTTGCAAATTTAGAGAACTGGCAACAATTCTCTCTCTCTTTAATAAATTCCTATTCGAAATAATTTTTTCAAGGAACCAACAGACTTCAAAGACAGATCACTTGGGCGGGGCATGGTGGCCCTCGCCTGTAATCCCAGCACTTGGGGAGGCCAAGGAAGGCAGATCACCTGAGGTCAGGAGTTTGGGGCCAGCCTGGCCAACATGATGAAACCGTCTCTACTAAAAGCACAAAAATAAGTCGGGCATGGTGGCACAAGCCTGTAATCCCAGCTACTCAGGAGGCTAAGGCAAAAGAATTGCTTGAACCTGGGAGGTGAAGGTTACAGTGAGCCAAGATTGCGCCACTGTACTCCAGCCTGAGCAAGACTCCGTCTCCAAAAAAAATTAAAAACCCAGAAACAGATGAATTATGTTAAATTAGCACTAGGCATTTTTTTCTTCAAAAATTAAGCCATCAAGTTTCCCCAAAAAAGCAAGTCAGTTTAACATTCAAGTTACAAAAGCATCTTTCAAATTATAGTTAGCATTGTACAAGATTTAGCCCTTTTTTTTTTAACAGCTAAGCTCTTTATATTCTTTTGTAGCTTCTCTAATTTCACAGTCAGAGCTAGGGTTTACATACAGATGACAAAAGTACCTTTGATAAAGAGTTCCATAAACTAACAGGAATACAAAATCCTACAGGAAAACCATCTCACCAAGTAGACACAGTAGCTCAAAAAAGAGAACAAGTCTGCTAAAGGCACCTTCTATGTGGACTATATGCCTTATTGAAGCATGCTTATGAATATTAAAACATCATTTTGACTGCATTCATTCCAAGCCTCTTCAGAGACCTCAAGGTCTGACTGCCCCACAAGATGTCCCACAAATAGTAGTGACCAGGTTGTCATCATTCCCTGGAAACTGCTTAGGAGTAAGATTCTTTTCTAATTGAGGAAGGCAGGGAAAAAGAAATTGACCAGTTGTACCTTAAAAAGAGTATCACAAACCAAATGTTATTCAAACTCTTCATTTAACTGTAAGAGAAAATTACTGTTTTTAATTTAAAATGCTTTACCTAGATTTGAAACAAAATATTTGCACTAAGGGCTTATAAGGCTCATTTGTTTTTGAAAAAACTGTCTCATTTAAATGTTCATAACTCAGCAACACATGAAAAAAGGTACAAAACTATATATATATATATATATATATATATATATATATGGATTCTATTTTTCAAAAACTGTATATTACTATATATGCCTTAGTTATCTTCCAAAAACAGGACACTGCTTTTATTCAAGGTCCTCACAACATCTAGCAGGAATTTCTTGTTACTTCATTTGGCTTAAACAAAATAGGGTAGCAGCTATCCTATGTTACTAAATAGCTTGGAGTCACAGAGGGCCATTTCATATTAGGGACATAACATATATGTATGCTTTCTGTATATATGCTTTATACATACCAAGTATATATAGAGAGAATATGTATACGTGCCTAAAATAAAACACAGATGAAGGATTTACCTTCATCGTACATTTCCTCTATCAAATAGGCCTCTGCTCGATCTTTCAGGGCATTCACATTGTCAGGTTCCATCTGTAAAACTTCAGAACATACCCTAATAGCTTCAACAGGCTTCTCGTCCTAAAAGGAAATGTGAGAAAAGGATTTATGGTTGGTATTCCATACGTGGAGTTTTCACATTTCTGGGAACAAGTCAACTGTTACCTTAGAAAAGCAGTGGCAAATCCTCTCCTTTGAACGAACTGTATATTCAACAATGCTTGGCTCTGTTTTCATGACAGATTCGTATTTGCTGGTAGCATCTGTGTATCTAAGAAATGAGCAAATCATGATAAGAAACAATGTCATTTGATTTCCAGAGTTGCAGAAAGGCCCTTCCCCTCTTCACCATGTGTTACTTAATCAATCCAATTGGATGAGTCCCTGGCTTCAGATTTGGGTTTTCTCTTATTAATCTAGAGTCGCCTAGAAGGTACACTCCATAGTTAAGAGTAAGAAGATAAAACAAAAGACCACGGAAGATGCAGATGGACAGAACAAAGCATACCTGTGAGTACCAATCAAACCACAAGAATTTCCTTACAGAAGCAACCTTGGAATTCCGAAACTGAGTAAAACACCCTGTTGAGTCTAATTTACACTGATCACATTGAACAATACAGAGATCAAGTTTTATTTCTTGGTCAGTACACACTTCCATGAAAATAATGGAGTCCATTACATGCCATTTTATATAATTAATTAATGTAAGTATTCACAACAAGGTACAATGTAGTTCATACAGAAGGTACCTGATTAAATTCCCAACTGTACAAGCTTTCTAAGAATAAAAGCCATTTCAGCATTTTCTTTAATCCAGCAAAAAGTACAAATCCTGTTATATACTATGTTACTTTCCTCAACAATACTAAACTAAAAAATATATTTCTATACTATGGTGGCTCATTATTCCCAAAATACTGCAATCTTCATATGTAAATATGCCAATGTATTAAAACACAGGCTTAACCAAAACATTTCAAACAAAAGCCAGCTTTTCCATCATCCTCAGCAAACTAACGCAGGAACAGAAAACCAAACCCCACATATTCTCACTCATAAGTGGGACCAGAACAGTGAGAACACATGAACACAGGGAGGTGAACATCACACACCAGGGCTTGTGCACAGCAGGCAGCAAGGGGAGGGAGAGCATCAGGACAAATAGCTAATACATACAGGGCTTAATACCTATGTTATGGGTTGATAGGTGCAGCAGACCACCATGGCCCATGTTTACCTACGTAACAAACCTCCACATTCTCCACCTGCATCCTAAAACTTAAAGTTAAAAAAAAAAAAAAAAGCCAGCTTCTGGGAAAGTGGAATAGATGTATTTTTCCCAATTCCTCCAGCTAAGCACAACTAAAAACCTGAAAAATTATATATAATTATATATAAATATATTTTAAAATAGAAAACTTTCAAAGGAGGAGAGAAGACAGACTAGCCAGTGACTCAGGACCTGAGGAAAAACATGGTAAGATGTTCCCTGGGTTCCTTTTTGTTTCATATATCCCAGACTTGGAGCTGAAAATTCCAGCAATGCAGAAATGCCAACAGGTACAGAACAACAATAACAAAAACCTGCAGAAGTCTGCTCTCTCTAGCCAGAGGACCTGAAAAGGGCAGACTTGCAAACAGAAAATTTTTTAACAATAACAGCTCAACTCCAGCCAAATACTACAGAGAAAATTACACCCCTGCCTCAACCCACACCTCTTCACTATGAGTATACGGCCTAGATTTTCTCCCTGGTGAGGCTGTAACAAGCTTCCCTCTACACCTCTACCACAGTAGTGTCAGGGAAGGTCAACTAGAGTGACAGGACTTTCATCCATGGCTGGTAATGAGTCCCCACCCCACAACCCCAGTGGTGTCAGTGGAGACTGTGAGGAGCCAAAACTCTGCCCTGCACAAGTGGTGGCAAGAAGCTTCCTGACCGTTAGGTATCCACAAAGCCCAAGTAGGAAACTTCTACTTCCACCCAGCTGTAACAAGGTGGCGTCCACCACCCCCATCCCTGCTTTGCTGGAACAGTGTCAAAATCCAGCCAAAAGAAGTCTAAATACAAAACAGACATAACAAAATGAAGATCCCAGGTTTCAATTAAAAACCACTCATCCAACCAAGGACTAGGAAGATCTCAAACTGAATGAAAACTGACAATCAATACAAGAGGACAGAGATATTAGAATTATCTGACAAAGATTTTAAAGCAGCCATTTTTAAAAAGCATCAATTATAAACATGCTCGAAGCAAATGAAAAAAATGCCTAAGCAAAGTAGTAGAAAATAGCAAAGAAATAAAAAATTAAAAAAAAAAAAAAAGTGGAGGTTTAACAAAATAAAAAGCCTTATTGAATGCAGAATGAAGGGGAAAGAGAAAAGAATCAGTGAATTGGAGTGAATCCTAACTTACCAGGATGGACAATACAGTGAAATGCTGTCTCTACAAAAATTTGTTTTGAGGCCAGGCATGTTCGCTCATGCCTGTAATCCCAGCAGTCTGGGAGACTGAGGCAGGCAGATCATGAGGTCAGGAGTTCAGGACCAGCCTGGCCAACATGGTTAAAACCTCATCTCTACTAAAAAAAAAAAAAAAAAATTAGCTGGGCATGGTGGCACGTGCCTGTAATCCTAGCTACTCTGGAGGCTAAGGCAGGAGAATCACTTGAACCAGGACCCTGGAGGCAGAGACTGCAGTGAGCTGAGATTGCACCACTGCTGCACTCTAGCCTGGGTTACAGAGTAAGACACTGTCTCAAAAAAAAAAAAAAATGGTAGGACGGGTGTGGTGGCTCACACCTGTAATCTCAGCACTTTGGGAGGCTGAGGTGTGCAGATCACCTGAGGTCAGGAGTTTGAGACTGGCCAACAAGGTGAAACCCCATCTCTACTAAAAATACAAAAAAAGTTATCTGGGCATGGTGGCAGGCCCCTGCAATCCCAGCTACTCAGGAGGCTGAGGCAGGGAGAATCCCTTGAACCTGGGAGGCAGAGGTTGCTGTGTGGCACTACACTCCAGCCTAGGCAACAAGAGCAAGACTCTGGCTCAAAAATAAAAACTGTTTTATAGAACAACAAAATGAAGGGGACAGAGACGGACCCTGTCTCACGAAAAAAAATTTTTTAATTAGCCAGGTGTGGTGGCATGTGCCTATGGTCTTAGCTACTAACGAGATTGAGGCAGGAGACTGCCTGAGTCCAGGAATTTAAGGTACAGTGAAAAGAAATCACCAAACTCAACAATAAAGAGAAAACAGACTTCTAAAAAATGAAGAGCCTCAGGGACCTATGAGGCTATAGCAAAAGACCTAAGATTTATGACATCATAGTCGAAGAAGAAAGAGAACTGACAAAGTACTTAAAAGAATGGCTGAAAAGTTCCGAAATTTGGGGGCGGCATAAATCTACATATGCAAAAAGCAAAGTGAACTCCGAATAGGATGAACATAAAGAAATCCATGCCAAGACACATCATAAACTTCTGAACACTAAAGACTCAAAGAAAAAATTTTGAAAAACAGGAAAATGACACCTTATCTTTAGAGGGAAAAGCATTCAGGATGACAAGGATTTCACATCAGGAATCATGGAGGCCAGAAAGTAGTATTACAGAATACTAAAAATGCTAAAAAAAAAATAAATGTTAATCCAGAATCCTACACCCAGAGAAAATCTCCTCCAGGACTCAATGTGAAATCAAGACATTCCCGGATAAAGGAAGCTAGAGAAGACCTAACCTAAGAAAGTTCTCTAAACAGAAAGGAAACAATAAACAATAGAACCTTGGAACATTAAAAAGGAAGGAAACATGGTAAACAAAAATACAGGCACATATGTGGTTCAGGAAATATTTAAGACAATTATATTGTAAACAGGAGAAGGTAAAGGAGATGTAAAAGGAAGAAAGGCTCTTTTACTCCACTGCTAAAATGACACCAGTAGACTCTCATAAGTTGTGTTATACTACAGCAAATACTAAAAAAGCTATACAAAGAGATATGTGCAGAAACTCTACAGATGAGTAAAAATTGAATTCTAAAAATATGTTAAAGTAACCAATAGAAAGAAAAAGAAAACAGAAAAACAAAGAACAGAATATAATAAAACGGAAGATTTAAGCCCTAACATAAAATTACATGAAAGGGAAATGGTTTAAATATATCAGTGAAAAGATTAGCAGAGAGCATTAAAAAAAATAACCTAACTGTAAGCTATCTACAAGAAACTCACATTGAATATAAGCAAGTTGAAAGTAAAAGGATGGAAAATAACACACCATGCAAATATTAGAGGAAAGCAAGACAACCTATAATACCACATGAAACAACAAAGAAAATTACCAGAGAGGGACAATATAGAATGATAGAAGGGTCAGTCTACCAGTCTACCATGTAACAATCCAAAATGCGTATATGCCAAATGGCAGAGCTGTTAAGAGAATGAAATGATAAGCCCACAGGAGTAGGAGAAAGTATTTGCAAACCACATATCTGACAAAGGACTAATGTCTAGAAAATCTAAAGAACTCTCAAAACTCAAGAGTAAAAAAACCAAACCATCCAATTAAAATATGGGAAAAAGACATGAAGGGACATTTCACCAAAGATAAACAAATAGCAAATAAATACATGTGATGATATTCACCATTACTATTAGGAAAATGTAAATTAAAACTACAATGAGATACCACAGCTCACCTGTAAGAATGGCTAAAATTTTTTTTTAAAATTGTAACATCACCAAAACATTATAGTCTGCAAGATGTTGGGGGAAACTGAGTAAAGCATTCTCATAATAGCAACTTACAAAGGTACTAAAAGTAGAGGAATCGGAGCCTATTTCCTATTAGGCAGTTTTGTCTGCAGTGCCCTCTACCTACTCTCTTCAGTCCTCCTGCCCAGCCTATAAACCCCCTATAAACAACACTCGCGCAGACACAGCAGCCTCTTACTTCTGCCCACTCTTATTTACTCTTTAGGATTAGGATTAACTATCTATCATCTTCTCTTAAAAAAGCTTTTCTTTTACTCCTTGCCTTTACCATCCTGGTTTGGAGTAAATACTCCTCTTTGGCACTCCCATTATCCTCTGTACATTCTATCACTTTAGTATCACATTGTCTTTTAATAATCAGTTTATATATCTGTTTTCCATGCAATGCTATAAACTTCTTAAGAACAAAAACAATCACCAAATTCATTTCTGTACCCTCAGTACATAGCTCAGTGCCTGATATAGAAGATAATAATAGCTGATAAGGATGCTACACAGTTACTATTATTTACATTCTGGTAGTTTTGCTAAGGCCCAGGGCTATCTAGAATACCCCACCCTCAATGGCTGAGGAGTAAAAGAGTAGTTCTGTAGTTCACTCGTGCCCACGACCCAACATATAAGGAAAGGCTGGACAGTTGGGACAACCATATTCTCACCTGCCATCTCTGATGAGCTCTTCAGCTGACTCAATAAGCTTATTAAGTTTCTTTACTTGTTTATAGTGTGCAA